AACAGGTTTTCCAGTTCCATAACAAAGTTTCAAACTGGATGTGCCTCGGAGATATCTCATAATCCACTTCACTGCATTCCAATGCTCCTTTCCTGGATTAGAAAGGAAGCGGCTTACTGTACCAACTGCATGCGCTAAATCTGGCCTTGTGCAAACCATTGCATACATCAAACTTCCAACTGCAGATGCATAAGGAATACGTCGCATCTCTGCCTTCTCAGCATCATTAGATGGGGACTGTCTAGAGCTAAGCTTAAAGTGTGTAGCAAGAGGTGTGCTCACCACTTTAGCTTTTTCCATATGAAATCGTTGAAGCACCTTTTCAATGTACTTCTCCTGAGACAATTATAACTTTCTTGCTTCTCTGTCACGTGTAATCTGCATGCCAAGAATCTGTTTTGCTGGTCCCAAATCCTTCATAGAAAAGGACTTACTAAGCTCTGTTTTCAACTCTGCAATTCTTGAAGAGTTATGACCAACAATAAGCATATCATCAACATAAAGCAACAAAATAATGAAGTCATTAATAGAGAACTTCTGCACAAAAGCACAATAATCAGAAGTAGTTTTCTTATATCCTTGCTGGATCATCACAGACTCAAACTTCTTGTACCATTGCCTTGGAGCTTGTTTCAAGACATACAAGCTCTTTTTCAACTTGCAAACATAGTTCTCCTTGCCCTTCACCACAAAGCCTTCCGGTTGCTCCATATAAATTTCCTTCCCCAAATCACCATGAAGGAATGCTGTTTTGACATCCATCTGTTCAACTTCCAAGTCAAGGCTGGCTGCAAGACCCAAAACAACTCGAATCGAAGACATCCTCACGACGGGAGAAAATATTTCCTCATAGTCAATACCCTTTTTCTGACTGTAGCCTTTAACCACTAGTCTAGCCTTGTATCGTGGAGACGAAGCACCCTGTTCATTCTTCAACTTAAAGATCCACCGATTCTTCAAAGCTTTTCTGTCTTTGGGCAACTTGACTAGCTCAAAAGTATGATTATCATGCAATGATTTCATTTCATCATTCATTGCCTCAACCCATTTATCCTTATCCTCATTCTCCATAGCCTCTTCATAGCACTCAGGTTCTCCCCCGTCAGTAAGGAGCACATACTCATTAGTAGAATAACGAGTAGAGGGAATTCTTTCCCTTGTAGACCTCCTGAGAGCAACTGTAGGTGAATTGTTATCAACATGAGGTTGATTGTGTACCTCATTTGATTCTTCTTCACCATTACCATCGGCAAAATCATGTGGAACATGACTGTTATCATCATTCTGATCTCCACTGGTAGCATTAGGCGTATGAGCCACGGGAGTTGGATTCAAATCAACAAGATCATCATAACTTTGAGACTCTGACTTCTCCATCTTCTGAATATCTTCAATATTCTGATCCTCCATAAAGATAACATCACGGCTTCTGACAAGCTTCTTCTCAACAGGATCATAAAGTCGATAGCCAAATTCATCATGACCATAGCCAACAAAGATGCACTGCCTCGTCTTGACATCTAATTTGGATCTCTCGTCCTTTGGCACATGTACAAAAGCTTTACACCCAAAAACACGCAAATGGTCATAAGAAACATCTTTCCCGGACCATACTCGATCTGGAACATCTCCATGTAAAACAGTAGCAGGTGATAAATTAATTACATGTGCAGCAGTATACAAAGCCTCACCCCAAAAAGATTTAGACAAATGTGCTTCTGAAAGTAAACATCTGACTCTCTCCACCAATGTTCTGTTCATCCTTTCTGCAAGTCCATTGAGCTGTGGAGTTTTCGGAGGCGTCTTCTGATGTCTGATGCCCTGTTGTCTGCAATACTCATCAAACGGGCCAAGGTATTCACCACCATTGTCTGTGCGAATACACTTCAACTTCTTTCCTGTTTCTCTCTCAACAGAAGCATGAAAATGTTTAAAGACCCCAAGAACTTGGTCCTTATACCTCAAGGCATACACCCATAGTTTCCTTGAGCAATCATCAATGAATGTCACAAAGTAACGTGCACCACCATGCGTCTTTGTCTTCATAGGACCACAAACATCTGAATGTACCAATTCAAGCAACTCTGATTTTCTGAAAGATGGATGACTCTTGAAGGACACTCTGTTCTGTTTCCCAGCCAAGCAGTGACTGCACCTTTTTAAATTTGCATCTTTCATCCCTGAAAGAACATTCTTCTTGGCTAAACAATCAAGACCCTTCTCGCTGATGTGACTGAGTCTTCTATGCCATAAACCTGAACACTTCTTCCCACGAGCCACAATAAGAGAACCCTTAGTGAGTTTGCATTGCCCATCACCAAAGGTACTCATATAACCTTCATCATCCAAGACACTAGTAGATATCAAATTCAAGCGAATATCTGGTGCATGTCGGACATTCTTCAACACTAACTTCATCCCAGTTCTGGTTTCCAGGACAACAACACCAATGCCAACAACCTGTGAACGACCATCATTACCCATCTTCAATACCCCATAATCACCTGGAGTATAAGATGTGAAGAAATCTTTCCTTGACGTCACATGGAAAGCGGCACCACTATCGATAACCTAACTTGATTCATCAGAGGCAACATTAATCAAGTCGTTATCAGAAACAACTATCAGATCACCCGAAGTCGTGGTAGCAACATGACGATCATTTTCACCATCTTTCCCTTCTCGCTTATTCTTGTCTTTGTTCTTCAGCTTGAAGCAGTTTTTCATTAAGTGCCCCTTTTTATGACAATAGTGGCACTCCACATTTTTGTATTTTGACCTGGACTTGCTCCTGCTCTTGCCCCTTTTGAATTCTCCATGATCTCTGTCTTTGCTTCTCCCCCTATTTTCAGTAACCAAGACATCAGATTTTGAAGTAGATGTCTCATGAGTTCTGCGTCTCACTTCTTCATTCAGAACGGCAGCTTTGACAAACTCCATGGTTACTGTACCACCGGGAGCAGAACTAATCAAAGACACGCAAAGATTTTCCCAAGAATCAGGCAAAGTATTCAGCAACCAAAGTCCCAAAATCTCATCCTCGAACTTTACGCCCATGTCTGAAAACTGATCAAAACACCCTTGAAATTCATTCAAGTGGTCAGAAATAGAAGAACCTTCCTTGAATCTCAGATTCATAGCTTGCCTAAGCAAATATAGCTTGTTATTCCCTGTTTTTGATGCATACAAGGATTCAAGCTTGTCCCACAAAGATCTAGCATGAGATTCATTGTAGATGTGATTCAGAACATTATCATCTACCCACTGACGAATGAAACCACAAACCATTTCATGTTCAAAAGCCCACTCTTCATCACTTTTTGACTCTGGCTTCTGAGTAGCAAACACTGGTAGATGCAG